ATGTGGCACCTTATTCATGAGGTTCAGCAGAACTCCGTCCCACATCTGCGCTCACGCGCTCAGCCTTACAACCACTCAAATCCATACGCACCATCGTTGAATTTCCCGGTTCTATACGGCTCGGAATGTCATAAGAGGTTGTCCCAAATTGTAATTCCCTATGTTTTGCAAAACTTCTGCAACGCTGACGTGGCACAACTACTCAATTAGTGATGGTTTCTATCTGATGCTTTGAGAAAACCTTCTTTGCCGAATCGTACGGCTCTACGGAACGACACTACTTCCAGTACACTCTCGTCTTCAGTACAGAAGAATATGAATTCATTCTACTGCCTGACCTTGTTCGCTTACTTTCATTGGACACCGCTATCGTCTCTGGTTTACGATATCCTACCTTACGCTTCGTTGACTTGTCCAGGAATAGCTCTTTATCTAAACGAAATCGGGCTTTCCTCAGGCTAATGCTCCTGATACTACGGGATGTACAGGACAGGAACACGCTCTCGGTTTCTGAACTGGCCAAAAGCAGGCTTCTGCATTCAACTCTTGCATATCACCATGCGAGATCTCGCGTTTTCCGATCTATAGCATATTGTTCATTGACTTATTATGCATCTATTTGTTCATTCCCAGAGTTTATACGATGATTTGGCAACCGCATGAGCTTTCCCGACTGAAGACAGTTCTCCTACGTGCACACTTTTGGTACGTCCATGGGCGAATTTGACGTGTCTTTTCAATTTGGATGTATAAAAGGATCACCTCTTTGTTCGATGATGGCTTGGAACTCCCTCCCTTCAGTGTGCTCGATAAACACGTTCCACGATGATCTCTACGGCCTGGACCTCTGTAGCACTGCTACTCTCAGCTTCTGTAACCTCGGCGGTTTTCAATCCTACCGGTAACACCAATGTAAATGTTATTTACTTTTTGTTGGAACAATGCTGAATCGTGCTTCACCCTCTGCAGCTTGTGGCGTAGTTATCACTGATGTTTTGGACGCCAGTCAAATTCACTCATTTATGCTTCAGTTATTGGGGTCAGAACTCATACGGAGCGACACATACGTCCGACACTGCAAACTGGCAGACAAACTTGGCTCATTACTGTCAGGTAGGTTTATCGGCAGAACCTGTTTATCCAAATCGTTTCAACAACGTATACATTTTAGGACGATGTTATTGATGTTTTCCCATTGGCGTTTTTGGATGTGTTCTTTGGCACGGGAGATCTACCAGAAATTAACTTCGCCAATGTAGGCCAATTTCTATCACGCTCATTCTCTTCTCAAATTCCACAATATATAGACCTGTAACGATGTCGACGACGCAGTCTTTCCTGGAAGCGAATTGGCCAACTGCCAGTTCATGGCTACCGATATCCAGACTTGCCAAGCTGCGGGCAAAATCATCACTCTCAGTATGGGAGGAGCAACAGGAGCTGCTACTTTCACCTCGGAATCTCAGGCCGAGGATTTTGCGGACCTGATTTGGGATCTTTTCCTGGGAGGAACATCAACTACGCGACCATTCGGTGACGCTGTAAGCTGTTTTTCCCCGAAAGAGATAGGAATGTACGAGCCTGATTGTATTCTGCCAGGTTCTCGACGGGTAAGATACTATACACGACCAATATCGTCGCGATATTGAGTTATTCGTTTTGAAGAATCGACCTGGACATCGAAGGCGGTGGAACCACAAATTTTGCCGCGTTCGTTACCAGAATAAGGACCCTTGCAGAAGGTGCTAGCAAACCGTGAGTCAAGTCCTGCAGAATACTCTATGCTATCTTCCGATAATCATTTCATATGATACTAATAGATATTATATTACTGGAGCGCCTCAATGCCCGTATGCCTTTTTTCCCACATGTTCACTCAAAATTTCTGTGCTGAACTCGAGGAATGACCAGTTTCCCAGACGCCAGTGCGCAAATCATTCTGATTATCTGTCTTTTGATGGCTGATTATATATTTCGTTCAGATCTTGACACGGTCCTGAACGCTGTCGGATTCGATGCTGTTTATGTCCAGGTAAGTAAGGAGCGCTGGCAGTGGGACACACCCGAGGATTCTTACCATGAATGTAGTTCTACAACAACTACTGTGAGGTGTCGAACTTCAACGTAGCTGGCGTGAGTATTCAAATTTCTACTTTGAACTCAATAAGGCTGATACACAGTGGCACAGGACTGGGACTTCTCCTCGTGGTGGGTGGTTTTCAGTATCAGGATCTGGAATACGCATGCTCAAATCCGAGAAGGGACAACTGGGCTAAGACAACCTCTCCAAATCCCGGCGTTAAAGTCTACGTTGGCGCCCCAGCATCGTCCACGGCGGCGACGAATGGCTATGTTGACGCCACTACTCTCGATTCTATTCTCCAGACAACAAAGGCTACATACTCTTCATTCGGTGGCGCGATGCTTGTCTGTAATCTATCTGTACTCCTTCAATGCGATTGCTGATTTTGGTTTCATTTCAGTGGGATATCAGTCAAGCGTATGGTGTGTGCTATGACTCCGGGAGCTCAATCTGATTCTGATCTAAATATCGAAGCAAATGGCCGTTTCGATCAGGTAGTCAAGGCAGCTCTGCTCGGGGGTTCTAGTGCTCCGACCACCACCGTTGGATCAACGACGACCAAGTCGACGACAACCACCTCAAGTGCCACCAGTACGACGAGTGTTGCCACTAATGGAGACTGTGCAGGAGTGGCTGCATGGGTATCATCAGTGGCATATGAGGGTGGATCGCAGGTCACATACAAGTGAGTACATCCAACCATCTTCAGTCAAGATATGACCTGATCCGCACATATCAGTGGTCACTTATGGACCGCCAACTATTGGTCTGAGGCAGGTGTGTAGCATGATCTTCACAAGATATCGCATGATGCTCAATCAAAACTTGCATTTAGACGTGCCTGGAGGTATGTAACATCTGCTGAACAAAGTATTCATTATACTAGTCTCACACTGGGACTATCTTAGGAGCTTCCGGTGACTGGGCAGACGATGGCGCTTGTACAACTGACGCCACACTGATTCCCGCTGTAGCCTCTTCAACTGTTCCTGCTGCCAGCATCACAGCTCACGCTACATCGGCAGCGAGCAGTGCTGGTGTCCAGACCCGGCCATCGGCTCCTTCCTCTGCTACTGCAGCTACAGCTCCCATCTCTTCTGCGCTATCAGCGGCTAGCAGCGCCAGCGTCAAGGCTCAGCCGTCTCCGTCATCCTCTGCTGCTGCTGTACCTGCTTCTTCTGCCTTGAGCGCCAGTCTCGCGTCGATTACATCTGCAGCTAGTGAAAGTATTCAAGGTAAACCACAACTTTCAGCAACTGCCATACAGGCTAGCGCGGCATCTTCATTCAGCGGTAGTGCGGCTGTTGCTCGACCATCGACAGCATTGAATGTTTCGAATGCCACAGAGGCTTCAGCCGTCAGGAGGTCTCGTTTTTTTAGGTTCTAAGGGTCTTTAAGAGCTTGCTCAATCATATCATGTAAATCTACGTAGAAAAGAATATTTATTGCTTCCCATAACATGAAAATGAAACAATTGCGGTACTATGTATCCATAGTTGAGGAAATATCAATTGGTTACAAGATATTGTTTGATCATACATACTCAAACTTATTGTTCGGATGATATTACCCAATTTGTTCACAGATACATCTTTATCCATTCCACCGTCGACTTGAATGCGCCCTCTTTGCCAGCTTTCACCTTTGGGTCGCTCATATCCCCACGAACCGCGAATCCATGTCTACATCCAGGAAAATACTCCCTCTTATACCCAGGAGCAAACTTCCCGTTGCCAAAAATTTCATCGGCTTTAGCCTGCGCTTCAGCAGGGAACATGGCGTCTTCTTCGCACGAGTTGATGAGGAGCGGCGCTTTGGATACAGAGCGATATTTCTATCCGGAAAGAACATGGAGATAAAAGTACACACAGAATTTAGTCTTTCAACTGTGTGTTTGCTAAGCAAGGGGTGAACTGACGTACCTCGAGGTCCTCCGGAACTTTAAGTCGCGACGGATGGGATACAATGGTAACTTTGGTAACATTCTCAATGGCCAGAGATACAGCGAATGGAGCTTCAGATAAGCGCGATCAGCCAACAAATAGCACACACAAAAGCCAATCTTGTAGTTCACCTCCGAAACAATATCCAGTCGTTCCGAACGCCTTAATGCCCTTTTCTTTCAAGGCTGCGATCACGGCATCGACGGCGGGACGGGTGTGCTCGTATCCGTGCTTATCCTTCCATGCGTCTCTATCAAATGCGCTCTGGAATTTGAGGTGAAATGAGATCGAGAAGATAGTCCATAGACGTCAAGGTCTTTCATAAAATCTAGGAAAAGACGCATAACACAAATACGTACCCCAGACTGCATTGCATCCGCTGGGATTGGTTCGCCAAAGAAGTAGTCCAGTCCAAAGGTCTACATAGTTTTCGGCTTTGAGCAGACTCGTCACTTCACTAGCAGCGATACTGACTAATATTCCGTTCGCTGCAAAATCATCTACAAGTAGCTTTAGAATCGCAGGTTTTTCGATTCGTGAACGATTAGTCAAATGGAGCTGTCATGTAATACCTTGCATACCTTATTATTGATCAACTGCATCCCAAAGACATCGGGAAGGAACAAAAGAGCTTTGTCCTTTGGATAATCCACGGATGGAGTGCCCACATAACAATCGATCCCACCGATCTTTTCCCATTTGCCTGAAGCATACCTTAACGTACTAGTTCTGGCGAGCGAGAGATGGTAGAATAAATGCTCTTTACCTTTTGGAGTACCTTCATGAGTAACACCTGTAAGGGGATTGTTACTGTCAGTGAGTCTAGCTCTTGTGTGATTGGCATTAGAACCTTTGAAGCAATCGTCACAGAAGCTCATGGTAAGTGCGATGGGTGTGTATTATCGAAGTTGATCCTTCGAAAGCAAAATACGACGGAGCTATAATACAGGATTGTGAATTTATTATTAATTATAGGGGGTATAGCTCAGCTGGGAGAGCAGTAGACTGAAGTCAATATTTCTAAAGGTCCCGCGTTCGATCCGCGGTACCCCCATGAAGAGCCTCTATCTTTTTTAACCTCTCTACTTTTAAAAATCTTAAAGATCATTGACAGATCCTTATAGCAAAAACAGCGTCCACTAGTGAAATTTTGCACATACCGACAAAGTGTCGGAGCACCTGTCCGAACTCGAGGCAAGACTAAGTCATCTACATATGTGTAAGTATGTACGTGGTGTACTGTATGTTGAATACATCCACGGTATTGCAGCGGAGATTACTTTGAAGCTAGAATGACCGGGATATGTTGGATGATCTTCGCAACGAGGCTGTTGCGTGTAATGACCAAATGACACTAAACAAATCAACTGGTAGATCTCAAGCCATGATCTTTGGAAGAGGCTGGTGAAATGGGAATTTATTAATTGTTACCAATAACGAGAGGAGATAGAAAGCACAAATGTTCAGCGCTCCAATTGCGCTGTAGCTGATTGGTAATCTTTAAAACTCCGATTGCATACCACCTGTAAGGACATTACTGATGAGCTAGATAACTTTTCTTTTCATCCGATTAACGAGTTTTTCCACCCATGGACGAGCACGGAGGCACCCTTATGATGGAACCAATGGAAGGCAGTGGTGGCGCTTCAGCCAATGGACCTGTAGCAAAACGACGAAGGAAGAACGACGGAGAGCCCAGCGAACCGCGAAGGCTGAGGAGATCACACGAGGCCTGCACCAGGTGTAGAGGAAAGAAGATAAAGGTGAGTTTACCTCCAACACAAAAATCGGGAATTTGCGAAGGATTAATTCCCCAACACGGGCGCATCCGTCGCCGGCAACGCCCGAACCATATGAACCGTATCGCTTATATCTTTTTCGACAGTGCGATTCCAAACATCCACGATGCACGGCCTGTGTCACTGCTGGCGTTGCCTGCAACCAAGAAGACCGCCATAGACAGACGACCATCTCTAGGGACCATACTGAACGTTTGGAACAAATTGTCTCTCAGTGTGATGCTTTGCTTAAGCGCCACGTACAAGGCTTTAGTTTACAGACTATTGATGATATCTGTGCTAAAGAAGGAATAGATGTTTCTGCTCTCCAGCCAGTACAGAATATCCCTCCTCAGACCAGCGGTAGTTCTCAGCCAACTCCGGTAATGAATCCGGCTCCGCCGCCTCCTCCACCCGGTTATTACGCTCATCCGCCTGCAGGCGTCGGGTTCTACCAATATCCTCCATACATCTATCCTGTACCTCCTCCGTTTCAAATATCTCCTCTTTCGGCTCCCTCGGTACAACCTGTCGCTACTATTCCTGGTCAGGATCCCAAATCCAATGACGTGTCTTCAACGCATGCACTTGCCAAATCATTTGGCGTTGCTCCATACATCGTCGACGATACTTCTGCGGCGCCAGCTCCATTATACCATTATGCTCCACCTGCGGCCGTATACAACAGCAATGATGCGCCTCTTCCCTCTTCCTCTTCTTCTACTGCTGTCGAACGTCTAGCAGAAGAAGATTTAGCCGTCGGCTCTTCAGGTTTGGACTCTGGTCGTGATCGTGTTGTCCAACTCGAAATGCCTGCTCCTAGGGATACTGCCAAATGGCGTGTTGTTTCTGTTTTTCGTTCTCAAAATTATTCATCCGCTCCCTCTATGGATATATGGATCCCGAACGACCGCAATACACTCCTTAACATTGTCAATGTTTATTTTGTTCGCCTCAACCCTCATCGACCAGTATTTTTCCGGCAGCAGTTCCTTGAGTCGCTAAACCAACTGTACGACGAAGGCTCACCGAGACCTGTATTTGATCCTGGCTTCATATGCTCTCTCTATCTGGTGCTCGCACTCGGGACTTTGAGCGAGCTCAACAGGAGTGGTTATCAAGGTGATGTTGCCAACGGTGATAGTGCCGCCGATCTTGGGAGCGATGGCGGACATTTGTCTCCACCTTTACGATCGGCGAAAGGGAAGAGAGCGGCAAAGTCTACCCCAACTGCTTCAGATGCAGGAGTATCGCGCCTTCCACCTGATTGGCCGGCTCATGATGAATTTTTCTATCGTGCTCTGGCGATTAAGCCTGAGCTTCGGGTAACGCTGAGCAGCCTCCAAGCGTTAATCTTACTGCATTGGTATCTTTACGCAGAGGCAAGTTGGTACTGCTTTCTTTGAATTTTGAAATTTTCTAACAAGGTCTTTCACAGCGTCAAGGTCGCACTCTTTGGCGTCTCGTAGGCTCCATCGTGCGTCTGGCTATTGAATTAGGTTTACACCATGATCCAACAACGCAAACAATGCCCAAACCTAAACCTCCGTCGTCATCGCCTTCCACGATGTCAGAAAACGACGGCACCGGATACGAAGAGGTTCACACCTTCACAAAACTGGACTGTGCCCTTCGCATTCGGCTTTGGTCCATAGTCCTAGTACATGATCGAGGAACAAGCATTCTTCTGGGTAGACCATTAGCTATTGCTCCCAGCGACTCTAATACCCCTAGACCTTCCAATCAGTTCAACGATACTGTTTTTACTGCATCCGCAGGATCCAATGTCAAACAGCCTACTATAAACGATCAGATATCTGAACATTTCGTGCTTTCGGCTCCAATTGCCGAAATTCAGGCTGATATCATTATATCTTTGTACAGTCCCACAAGGCAAACAGGCGAATCTCTTCTTCGTAATGCTAGCCGTATCATCAAATCGATCAACCTCTTCCGCCATTCACTCCCATCGACATACAAGAACTACTTTACTGGTACCGCTGGCTGGCCCATCTCTGCCCGTCATGCTCTGTTGGCTAATCTCGACGAATCTACCGGGTTGACCCTTCTCAAACTTGCAATCTCACGCATCCTTCTTCTTCGTGCACTGTTCAGCTCCAAAGAACTGGGGTACGCAGAGCGCAAAAAGGCTCTTGTTGATGCTATAATACAGGCTCACAACGTTATCGCGATACATACCGTGCTCGTCCGCTATCCAGAAGTGGGGTTCTTCACCAGCCCGATACCGCTGCAAATTGCTGCCATGGTCATCCTGTACGGTAGGGTGAGCGAATGTGACGAGGGAATCCCTGGGCTTAATGACAGAGATGGAATTGATCGTGAAGACGGGAGGAGTAGTGCAGTGAGGATACTGATGGAAGACATCTGGTTGGCTTTGGATATGCTTCCGAGGTTTCGTTGGCGCTGGGAAACAGGCAGTGGATCTAGTGGAGGGACAAACCCGCTCATTGCCAAACTAGCCGAAGAAGTAATGGAATCTTCCTTTTCTGAAGCCGGACTCCGAGGAATTGGAGCACCGGATGAATCCGACAAACGTTCTAATGGCCCTGCAGAACGTGGACAGCATGGAGAAAGTCGAATGATTGCAGGTATCGGCCGACAGGGACCAGTTGGTCAACCAGTGTTGATACCAGAACCAGAGTGGGTGGAAGAAGTCACGAGCCCGAATCGGGATAAAAACAGTAGTAACACACCGACTGGAACACGGGAAATAAATTGGGTTGAAAATGCTACGGGTCCTAGCAAAAGTCAGCAAACTACACCTACATTGCAAGCAGCATATCCGCCGTCATCATATCCTCCATCTGCCAATGGTCCCACAACAGTAGCTTCCTACACCTATCCTCCTCCTCCGATCTCCACCCCGAGCCCAACACATACCAATAGCAATAACTACCCGCATCCTCAGTATACATACAACCCACCAATATTTGGTTCGCAATCTGTCAACGGAACAAACGACAAACAACCACCAAAAGTTTCTTCTTCTTCTTCTTCTGCGCCGAATGTACCCCCTCCCCCTACTCCAACGCGCAGCAATGGGGTACAGCCTTCTACTCTTCCAACAATGGAGGTACTCCAGAGTCTTTTCTATCCTTTCTACGCAGACGGCGTGCCTGTGCATCCCTCATCTCCCGGCAGCCCTCATGCCTCCAATGGATCTAGCCCTCCTCATCCGCCTCGCCTAGCTAGACCAACGAATTCATACGGCTCGTCTGTACCAGTACCTGCGAGTAATGGATCAACAAACTCGCTTCTTGCTGCCGTCGCAGTCCAGGTTCGTGCACACGGAGGACAACTAGGCGCTCCGGACATGTACATGAATGAAGAGAGAGGAATTCAACTTGGTCATGCTCCCCCAGTGGGTGGTGCATATGTGTCTTTGACTGGTGCATATCGCGGCCATCCAGGTATGTACGGTTCGTTTACCCTACTGTCTCATTCAAGCTAAGCAGTTATGTTTTTCTACAGGTGGACCGCCACCGCCTGCTCCACAACACCCCTCATCTCAATTACATCACGGAGTGGCGAATGGCGCATATCCAGGTCATCATCATCCTCATGGTTCCATGCCACCTCCTCACACCGTTTGGCCGAGTCACGGGGTGAGTTTCTGTCTGGTGATTGAGATGATAAGTCTACTCACTCTGCGATTTCGTTCCAGCACACTTCACCGCGGCCAGCGGGTTATGCTTCTCAACCTTCATGATTGGTTTATGGCTTAATGGAGACTCATTTTGTTCTGGTATTGGTATTTTTGCGATTATTTTGTGTGTTTTTTTTTCAAGAAAAAAATATACCATGTACATATATCAAGCTCTTCCCTTCGGGTAAAAGGAAAATTCTATAGCGAACTTTCCTGTGATTGAAAAAATCGCTGTGGCTTTGCTATAGGTCGCTTTGACCGCTCCGACTCCGAGGTCAAGAGGCCTCCTTGGGTATGTATCTTCCTTGTTCTGTGAGTATAATTATACCCAACTGTTCAATTAGTTCAAGCACATTCAATCAGTTCACAAAACCAATCACAGTTCATTTTTGAATCCGTGCGAGTCGGTAGACATGCAATATTCCATAGTAAAATATCAAAACATTTTTGGTAAAGTAAGTATAGTATGAGAATTTGTTCAGTTGTAAGTATCCACAGTTAGGACCGCTCTAATTAGAGGCGGTGTCAATATTATTATTATTATTGAATAATGAATCAACCTCGAGCTTATCTCGCCTTGAACATCATTTCTTGGATCCACCACCACCG